ACTTAATTTAAAAAACTGTGATAATTATGATGAGGCAGAGAAGACATGCAGTGTCTCTTCTGCAATAAAACAAGCTCACCTGCCTACTTGCAATCTTACTTAGAATGTAAACACCCCTGTGCCGGATTTACCAAATTCTCATGCACCTGCATGGGAGTTATATCATCTCCAACAAGCCAATCAAGGAGCTAAAACCCGACACTTGGAAGAAGCCAGGATAAAGAGGTCACCATCGTGCTGCTGGAGCAGAGGTATCTGTGGACTTTAGTTCTGCTTTAGGTGAATCTATATATAGGAAGCTTGCTAATAATTATTATGGAAACTTGTTTTCCTCCAATATCACATTATAATTAAAGGCAATTATGGGAAAGTCTACAGAGTCTAGTCTATGCTCATGGCAGAAAATAAGAAGCTCATAAAAAGACCATTACACGCAATGATTATTATATTTATTAACACTTCATTCAGGACACTTCAATTCAAAGAATTTTACTCTCCCTAAAGTCACATAAAAACAAAATATTTAGAAAAAAACAGCCAGACATCCTCAGAGAACCCAGCAAGCATGAAATACATTCACTATGCTTAGTTCTCTGCAGCTACAATGACTTACTGTATATTATAGTAACCAAAGGAAAAACTTTTTTTGTTTTTAGGTTTTGACAGAGTGGAGAGGGATAAGAACATGTCAATGTTTTGCTGTCTGTACCCCCATTAAGGAGGCTCACCCCCTTTCCAGTTTACCATCATCAGCAAAGGTGAAAGTATAAGAAAAGCCCACATTTTGGGGTGACTAAAAAAAGGGGAAATCTTCCAATGGGGACACCATTTCTGGTGACACACCGGGATTCCCTTTCACTTCCTGTTTTGGTTAAGGGACAGGAAGTGAAGGAAAATCCCCCCCCAATGGAAAACAGATGGAGGGAAAGTCAGATGCTGTTAAGCAAAGACTAGCATGCACTGGGATTTATTTACCAAAACAGGAGAGTGAAAAATCTGGTGCAGCTCTGCATAAAAACCAATCAACTTTCAAGTATTTTGTCAAAGCATAATTGAACAAGCTGAAGTTATAAGCTGATTGGCTACCATACACAGATGCACCAGATTGCGCACTCTCTGGTTTTAGTAAATCAACCTCTCCATGACTGGTGTTTTGAATTGAGTAGGCCATCTGCAGAATGTATGTTATTTGGCCCTTTTGTCTCAGCGTCCTTGCCTTCTTTGCCTGTGAGCCATCATTGCTAATTCAGGGGATCTCCAGTGGAGTACTGAGGGACTAGGAGGTCAGAATAGATGGAGTTTGCATTTATGGATAAAGGTGATGCTATAACGCAGGCACTGACCATTTTCCTGTGGCAGGTGTACAGCAATATGTAGGAATGCATCACCTGGAAGGTGTGACATAGTTACCTCATCCTCCGGAGACTAAAACGGAGTACATATGGATCGAAATTCGGCCAGGCTCAGCAGGAACAGCAGAATACAACAACACAGCAGAGATCATCAGTGCATCCACATTGTTTGTGTAGATGCTGTAATCTGCTATTTTTTTGTTCAGCCTACTGGTTGAACGGGACACACTGTGTGTACTCAGCTTTGGTCTAAATAAGACTGCCAAATTTAAACACTGCTCATGCCAAGAAACAATAGGGACCAAGTGGCAGGAATTACCACAATAAAGTGAACAATTCCCAAATTCTCTGCCTACAAAATCGCATAGTGTGCTACACATGGAGATTGTGTTATAAAAATCCAGGAACCAGTGTATATAGGGAAACCCTTTCTTACCTTACCACGATGCCTGGTCTTCCAGGGGTCCAGCCTTCACTCATCATGGAGGGCATACCCCCAGAGGAGCCTTCAGGCTCTGGGAAGCATAGAAATGGACCAAAGCCCTGGATCTCTATGACACCTTGCTGCTAACTTACATGTTGCACTATGTACCAAAGTGAGCTGCAAATGCAGGATCAAGTGTCTGAAGAAAACGTCAAGGTACATACCTAGGGTTACTGATCTAGAAACTGCTAAATAGCCCAGGGTAATAACCAGTCAGACCTTGCTAGAAGCTTCAGAGAAAAAAAAAAAATGAATGGTTTAAAAGGAAAATACTTGTGTCTTCACATATCTGCTTCAGCCTTCACTGGCCCCTCCCTATGCCTAAATGTCAGGCTGCTCTTTATAGGCAAAACTGCGGTAATTCCTGGTAGTGACGGGTAAAGCTGTAGCACCTACTGGCATTGACGGAATCATTACAATGTAAAAAAACAAACTCAACTTGTTTCTTTACCAACTTGCTTAGAGTTACACCAGGAGTAGGTAGAGTATGGGGAAAGTGTCCTTAGCACTTAGCTGACACTTAGGGCCTGCTTTGTATTCTTATAGTCTTTAAGTAGTTAAAGCTTCTTCAATATTTTATACTTCAGCTAAACAGCTTAAACAATGAAAGTCATAGACAATGACTTAAACCCTTCTATAATGTAACTAGTTGAACCTCCTTAACCAGCAATGACTTCTTGTAAACACTTCCTATGGATATCAAAGCAGCCTCACATCCCATTGTACTCTATGAGGAATGTCCAATATACCCCTATTTATAGGGCATTTTTACGGTAACAATGATGCAGATTTTCTTCCACTGGTCACCTGACTTAGGATTGCACTGAAGAAATAGCAACAGGGCTGAATTTCATCAATCACGGAATCATCAATTTTAATATCAAGAGTACAGCAAGTCCCCCCTGAGGTGCAGTGAAATAATTTTTGATTTTAATCTTATGGCACTTCAACAGAATTCTGTTGTGAAGAGCAGATAAACAATTAACCGCTTGCCGCCCTGCCACTGTGTATATACGTGTGCAGGGCGGCAGTGGAGCGCAAAAGCACGTTTTAAAACGTGCTCCGCGCTCCCGACACATTCGCGGATAGGGGCCGCGCGCGCGCTCCCGCCGACCCGCGGGTGATACGATTCGATCCAGGAGGGATCAATCATTAGATTTCAGCCAATGATTTCTGGCTGAAATCACATGATCGGTCCCTGTCCTATCCTGTCCTGTGTTGATATTTACACGGGGCAGGATATGATGTCATTCTTCTCTGCCTGGACACATTCCGTTCCAGACAGAGAAGAAGACATCCAAAAAGTGAGTACACAAGCACTACACTACAGTTAGAACATTTAACCCCCTGATCGCCCCCCCCCCCCCCCCCCCCCCCCGAGTTAACCCCTTCACTGCCCTGTCACCAGTGTCACTGATCAGTGAAGCGATTTTTACTGATCAGTGTTGCTGGCGACTTCCGATAGAGTTAGCGCCCCTCCCAGATAGCGCCAGTTTGCCCGCTAATACACCAGTAGTCCCGTCTAACCCCTTGATCGCCCCCCCCCCCCCAGTTAACCCCTTCACTGCCCTGTCACCAGTGTCACAGATCAGTGAACCAATTTTTACTGATCACTGTATCAGTGTTGCTGGCGACTTCCGATAGTGTTAGCGCCCCTCCCAGATAGCGCCAGATTGCCCGCCAGTACACCAGTAATCCCATTTAACCCCTTGATCCCCCCCCCCCCCCCCAGTTAACCCCTTCACTGCCCTGTCACCAGTGTCACTGATCAGTGAACCAATTTTTACTGATCACTGTATCAGTGTCGCTGGAGACTTCCGATAGTGTTAGCGCCCCTCCCAGATAGCGCCAGATTGCCCGCCAATACACCAGTAATCCCGTCTAACCCCTTGATCGCCCCCCCCCCCCCCCCCAGTTAACCCCTTCACTGCCCTGTCACCAGTGTCACTGATCAGTGAACCTGATGAACCAATTTTTACTGATCACTGTATCAGTGTCGCTAGCGACTTCCGATAGTGTTAGCGCCCTCCCAGATAGCGCCAGTTTGCCCGCCAGTAGTACACCAGTAATCCCGTTTTTAACCCCTTGATCCCCCCCCCCCCCCCCAGTTAACCCCTTCACTGCCCTGTCACCAGTGTCACTGATCAGTGAAGCAATTTTTACTTATCACTGTATCAGTGTAGCTGGCGACTTCCGATAGTGTTAGCGCCCTTCCCAGATAGCGCCAGATTGCCCGCCAGTACACCAGTAATCCCGTTTAACCCCTTGATCGCCCCCCCCCGTTAAAGCTTAAAGTAGAAAATATTGGTTTTTTCAAAATTTTCGTATTTTTTTTGATTATAGCGCAAAAAATAAAAAGCGCACAGGTGATCAAATACCACCAAAAGAAAGCTCTATTTGTGTGAAAAAAAGGACGTAAATTTCGTTTGGGTACAGCATTGCATGACCGCGCAATTATCATTTGCGTTAGTGCAGCGCTGTATAGCAAAAAAAGGCATAAATTACAGTATCTTTATCATAGTTTGTAGACGCTATAACTTTCACACAAAGCAATCAATTTACACTTATTGGGATTTTTTTTTTACCAAAAACATGTAGCAGAATACATTTTGGCTTAAATTTATGACTAACTTTGAGTTTACGATATATTTTTTATAGCTGAAAGTAAAAAATATTGTTTTTTTTTTCAAACGTTTTGTGGTTTTTTTTGTTTATAGCGCAAAAAATAAAAAGCGCACAGGTGATAAAATACCACCAAAAGAAAGCTCTATTTGTGTGAAAAAAAGGACATAAATTTTGTTTGGGTACAGCACTGCATGACCGCGCAATTATCATTTGAATTAGTGCAGCGCCAAACGGCAAAAAAAGGCCTGGTCATTAAGGAGGGTAAATCCTCTGGAGCTCAAGTGGTTAAATAAAATCAAGATCAGAATTGATTTTAAGAGTTTTCAAGTAAAAAACAAACAAAAAAAAAAAAAAAACGTGCAAAAACCTTTGGTCACTACTGTGCATGAAGTGCATTATACATGAGTGATACTGCTGCAATTCCTACTATAACATAAAGCACCACAATACCAGTGAGCCTGGGCAAGATACCTGAATATACAGAGAAGGAATATTAGAATAATTTATGGAATGATTTTAGGACAAATTCTAAAACATACCAGGCTGTTCATTTCTGAAGACTCATAGCTCTCACACCGATGGACATTTCCAATTGGCTCCATTCCTTCTTCATCCCACATATAAGTTCCACCAGAGCTGTCAGATGGAGAAAGCTCCAATGAAGATGGGTCTCTATAATCCATGTCTGGAGATACTCCGTTCTCCACATAAGAATGGCTTTTGGTATCTGCTTCATTTTGTACTGAAACAGAAAGAGATACAATATGAATAAAAACACAACTAAATCTATACACTGATGCATTATATCAATATATCCAAATATACATCCAGACATACACATACTTACACAACAGCTGTCATGCTAATCCTGATTTCACTACCTAGCGAGTCACTGACCTAGATCAGAACAGAAGTATACCAATACATGATGAAGCCAGGATTAAAACGATAGTCCCGGACATCTTACTGACAAACAATAAGCTATGGCACTCCAGCAAGCCAGTGGTGTGAATGTCTCTGACAAAACAATCAGAAACAGACTTCATGAGGGTGACCAGAGGTCCTCTAGTGGGCCCTGTGCTCACTGCTCAGCACCATAGAGCTCAATTTGCATTTGCCACTGAACACCAGAATCGGCAGGTCCGCCACTGGCACCCTGTGCTTTTCACAGTTGAGAGCAGGTTCACCCTTAGCACATGTAACAGACATGAAAGGGTCTGGTGAAGCCGTGGAGAACGTTAAGCTGCCTGGAACATCGTTCAGCATGACCGTTTTGGTGGTGGGTCAGTGATGGTCTGGGGAGGCATTTCCATGGAGGGACGGACAGACCTCAACAGGCTAGACAATAGTAACCTAACTGCCATATTAGGTATTGGGATGAAATCCTTGGACTCATTGTCAGATCCTACACTGGTGCAGTGGGTCCTGGGTTCCTCCTGGTGCATGACAATGCTCGGCCTCATGTGGCGAGAGTATGCAGGCAGTTCCTGGAGGATGAAGGAATTTATACCACTGAATGGCCCCCACGCTCATCTGACCTAAATCCAATGAAACACCTCAGGGATATCATGTTTCAGTCTGACACCTCCAGGTTGTACCTCAGACTGTCTAGCTCAGTGATGCCCTGGTCCAGATCCAGGAAGAAATACCCAATGACACCATCTGTCTTCTCATTAGGAGCATGCACCGACATTGTCAGGCATGCATACAAGCATGTGGTGGCCATACAAACCAGTGAGTACCATTTTGAGTTGCTGCAATTAAATTTCAGCGAAATGGACTAGCCTGCTGCATCAGTTTTTCACTTTGATGGAAATGAAAATTATCAACCTACAGAGGACTGAATTTAGAGAGCCCCTGGAAAATCAAACGATGGGACATCCTTATGATCCTAACACATTACCCAGTCCATATCCGTATAGATATCCAGCATGATATTTTTCCCCATTGAGATCTGATGTGTTTTCAAAGTGTTCCTTTAATTTTTTTGAGCAGTGTATATAAAACACGTAGAGCCTAGATGCCTGAATCTTATACAACTGTCTCAAGAACAACAATGGACAGGAGACAAGTGGAGGCATTGCCTGTCTTATTACATGAACAATGTCAAACGGCTCGCTTAGACCAGACTGGATTAAGACTGAATGCTACAGCTTGACTATAGCCAGTTTGGCCTATCTTACAAACTGTCTTGAAATTCCAAAACAGTTTGAGCCAAATAACATTTTTTTACAGCTAATGCTGGCATAAAAAGTCTGAAAGTGAAAAAAAAAAAAAAAGTATACTGCTATCTCAAATCTAAAGTTTAAAAGAAAAAAAATTAAGCAGCATATTTTGCAAATAAGCCAGCAAAGCAATGCAACCAAAATCAGTGGAGCAGGGACAGCAATTCTATGGAGGAAAGAGCTAGATGATACTGGATATTCTCCAGCCAGGAAATGAGGTAGACATTATCTGACTTGTTACAGCTTTTAACACACACTGTGAGAAGCTCACAGCATTCAGTTAAATTAGTTTCAGTGTAGTAGGGGAGCCTGTACAGCTGAGGAAAGACTGAAGGCAAAGCTAGAGTTCAGTTTTAGCGATCAAATATCTGACTGAAATCCACACTGGTACTTGCTTAGGATATGCTAAGAGGCAGGAATAGAGAACACAGGAGAAAACTTTGCAACAGGAGCAGAAATATTCCACTTTTACAGTGCTCCTACTATCATAAGTTCTTCAATATTCAGTTGCTCTAAGTAGTTACTGAAGTAGGCAACAATGCCATATTGGTCACAAATAATAGAACCAGCTTTACAACTCCTGCTTCAAAGTTAATTTATTGCTCACAAGACTTTTTTTTGCCTGTTTTTTTTTTTCCAGTATTCTCTTAGCAATTTTTTTTCTTACAGTGCTGTAATGTGGCAATTAAGATTCTACTACACCGCACAGCCAACCTTACCTTTGAAGTTCACCTGTGTAAAGTAAGGCCCCTTTCATACGGGGCAGCAGGACACAGACAGAGGCTGCTCTACTCTATTGGTGGCCAGGAGTAAACAGACTCCGTTGCCTCTGCTGATCCCCTTCCTTTTTTTTTTTTTTAATTAGTGGAACAGATTGGATGTGAGGTAGATAGGTATAAACAGACACAAGTCTGTTTACACCCAAAGGTCCATAGGGTTTAAAGGACTGTGTGATCACGTCTGCCTGAAAAACTGAAAGGCGGACCTGATCAGACCCTTCATGTAAAAGGGGTCTTACAGGTTCACTTTAATCTAGACCTAAACAGAGACATGTAATTGCTTTCCTTTCACTCACCCACAGCCAGGAGTGAAAGCAAAGCCCTGTGTTAGCTACAAGTCGCCCATGAGGTAACTCACACAGGACACGGACTGATCTAGAGATGTCACATGAGTGAATCACATGCTCCTCCACAGCAGCTATTTACTTCAGCTCCTGATGCTAAATGGAGTGTTAAGAGAGAAAACAATAGGCAAGTATGTAGTGCTGGAGATGTGAAGTAAAATGTTTAAAAAAAAAAAAAACTATTGCTTTGCTTAAAACCTTTTATTTTTTTTTGAACAGAGTGATGAAGGGTTTGAGTCTGGCTTTTATTGATATCTGGCATCAAGCTATACCTTTATTTTAAAAGAGAAAATTTCCCCAGAACTGTAAAGGCGGCACCAAGTTGCATTGTTCTAGTCCAGGGGTCTGCAACCTTTAAGACATAAAGAGCCACTTGGACCCGTTTCCGAGAGGGAAAAAAAGACTGGTAGCCGCAAAACCATTGCAACATTTAAAACAAATCCGACACTGCATATATTGCAAAAAGCGCTCTGGTCATGAAGGGGTTTAAGGGCCCAGTAAGCAAAGGGTTAATCAGGGCCACAGTGTATCGTCATAATCACAATCATAGCCTTAGGTCAGTGGTGGGCAACCTTTTTTTTCAACTGAGCCAAATCTTGCCAAAACCACGATTGAAATTTATTTTGAGAGAAACATTTTTAAAACTGAAAATACATCCCCCATATAGTAATTCATCCCCCATAGTAATTCACCCCCCATATAGTAATTCATCCCCCATAGTAATTCACCCCCCCCTATAATAATTCACCCCCCATATAGTAATTCATCCCCCCCATATAGTAATTCATCCCCCATATAGTAATTCATCCCCCATATAGTAATTCATCCCCCACATAGTAATTCATCCCCCACATAGTAATTCATCCCCCCTATAGTAATTCATCCCCCCTATAGTAATTCATTCCCCATATTGTGTCAATTCGTCACGCTGCCCCGCCTACATCCTGACAGCCAATGTTTGCCAGCAGGCGCCCGGCACACAGAAGAGCTGCATTAAAAGAGCCGCGGCTTGCCGACCCTATTGCCTGTCACCTGGTGGGCAGTGTGCTCCGGAGCCGCAGGAAAGGTGAAAAAAAGAGCCGCATGCGGCTCTGGAGCCACGGGTTGCCGACACCCGTTCTAGTCGCATGCAGATATTTTTTAATGTACATGCTTCATACACAGTTCTGCTGCTTGCTGCCACCGCCTTGATTGCACCTGCGGTAGACACAAGAGCTGCAGCCCATAATCTCAAACATGGCCAGGGAGGTGCTTGGGAAGGGCACAACCACAGCAGAACTTTCATTACTGCAATCCCACCATTCACTGACCACCAGCTTTTACACGACTGGTCTTTTTCAAGCTATCTCCTGCAGGCAGGTTTTCTAGAATAGAAACATATGACATGAGCATCAGGGGGAGCCAACACTTCCATAGGATCTTTAAAACTAGAAGATTTGAACTAAAGGTTTCTAAGAAAGTTAATCAAAGATCGCTGAAAAGGTTTGTAAATTGTTTTACAGCTGCTTGCTGTTTTCCAGGCCAGCATTTGCAACCTGAAACGTGTGTGAACCAAGTTTAAGAAGGAGAAGTGTGCTTGCATGAAAAACAAAGTGAAAAAAGATACGGCAACAAGCTGTTGAATTAGGTTTAAAATGGTGATTTCAGCAGCAATAATCAAAAAGGCAGCTGTCCCAATCTGTTCACTTAAATCACAATGTGCAGCTGTTAAAATCAATCTTCTGCAAAATTACAGTTACTACCAAGCAAATGATTAGGTCATTTTCCTAATGATCACAAAGGTTTCTTCTCGGTTACATATTTTAAACCTTAACCTCCCTAGTGGTTGATTATGTCCATATTTCTGTGCTCAAAGCGGTACATTTTTTTGCATGGAAATATGTATTTTTTTGATTGTAGGCCTGTAATTTTTAGAAATAACTCACTGAAATCTGTCCAAACAAGAGTCTAGTAAACATCCCGGGTAGGATAAAACTTGAAACATGAAATCATAAATTATAATTTTTAATAAATATTCATAAAAAATAATATATACATTTAATTCAATAATATAATCAAACCAAAAACACTGAAATTTGAAATATAGCGCCAAGTTTGCACATCACTGAGCAAAGTCGCAAAATCGTTTTCAGTGTCTGATGACAAATTTCCCCACGAATCATTATCACTCAATTCTGCAAGTAGTTCTAATTTACTATCGCTGTTCTCTAGCTGGTCTAAAACCACTTTTGACCTAAAGGGACGCTTTTTGGACGCCATGGACATTTTTCAGTTTCCAGGCAGAAAGAACAGTAAAAATGCAGGCAGGGCCAGGACAAAGCACTCAGGACAAAATGCATGTGAAATGGTTTGATACAGTAATGTTTTACTATGTGATTTTAGTGAATGTCACTTTTTTTCATTTTCAAATTTCCCGCCGTTCCGTCCCCCGCACATCCTGACGCTCGCAGGTGACAGAACCCAAATGACAGATGCCGGCATCCGCCATTACATTGCCAGGGACACTGCACGAGGGACATTGTGGGAGCGCAGGACAGGGTAAGTGATCGAGGGATCCCGGAGCATGGTAAGCTCGAGTGTAGCTTGGGGTTACCGCTTGTGGTACTGAAACTTTACCCCGAGCTACACTCGGGAATAACCGCCAGGGAGATTAAAGTGAAATGTTACCTAAAACAACTTGATAAAAAATAATATTCTTTAGCAAGGAACATACATTCCACATTATTAATCATGCTAACAAAAATAGTGTGTGCTGTAAAAAATTGCCTCCAGCATTGTTCCCGTTTCTTCTTGCTAGAGGATGCCATTTTATTGAAGCCCAGAGCAACTGAACAGTAGCAAATCATAAGGTGGAACTAAACCCATCGATCTAAAAGTTTCAAAAGACAGTTACATTCCTAAATGCTGGAATTGCTAACAGTCACATATGCTTGCATCCTCAATCAAACTGTCAAACCATCAAATGGCTGGTGTACTAACTGATCATATGTGCAGCACCATGGCAGTTGCAGATCAAGCAGAAGCAGCTTCCTTGGCTGTAAAAGGACAGGAGGCTTTAGTTCCACTTTATGGATGTAAGCAGATCGGTCTCTACAAATTTGGCAGTGCCTAAACATGCCTAAAAGTAGAGAGCAACTGAGCATGTGCAGAGCAGGATGAGCCAGTGTACTGGATTTTAAACAGTATAGACACTTATTTTTAATGTTTTACATAGCAATACCTGCAAAAGGGGCCAGCGTGAAGTGACCTAGCAGGACCTAATTTTCTGACTAAAATTTAACTTTAACGATAGAGAAGTTCCACATAAACACTAGCTTGTATGCAAAAAAAAGTTATAGTATTTCGAACATTGGGTGTGTGGTGCTGAGAAGGAGGGATTAAAGTAAACTGTGTCATGCATTAATTACTAGGCACTGGAAATCCTCCACAACCACCACCATCCAGAAATGGGACGCTGAACTAAACCATATTAAAAGCATGGAGGAGCTTATGGCTATGGCTAATGAAGACTATTCTAAGTTTTGTGACTTGTGGATTCCATGGATTTAATTTTCTGACTGTCCCAAGCTTTCGCCTTTTTGATACAATAGGTGGTTTTCACTTGTATTGGGATGCTCATTGTGAGGCCATTCCCGATGGACATCCCCCCCAAATTCCATTTTTTTTCTCCTCTACTTCTTTCTAATTTTGGTTCTATGCATTTACTCTCTTTCCATTTTTTTCCCTCTTTCTTCTTCCTTGTTTTATAAAATACAAGTGTTGTGGCACATGTAGGAATGTTACTCTGGATTCCTCTGGATATCCCTGCTACTTGGAATCACTTTTTTACGAGGACGTTCAAGTCAAACCAGGACTTGTAATTCTACAAGTATAAAAAGGCATGCTATCATGGTGGTACTACAGTAGAAATAGTAGTAAGTGGCAAGTGTGTCCTATTACTGATAGGTGGACCACATGTCACGGTCTGGTCCAGAGACCATTAATCAAGATGCTAGACAACAGTGTTAGTGCATGCATGGAACAGCGTGTGGTGATGAAGCTTCTTGTGAATGAAGGCGTAAAACCCACGGATATCTACAGGAGAGTATGGTGATGAGACGCTCAGCCGCAGCAGGACATTTGAATGGTTTAAACGTTTCAAAGATGGTTGTAAATCTGTCAGTGACGATCCCAGCCGTGGTGGTTCCCAGCCCACAGCAGTCACTCCTGTGTACATTCAGCGCGCAGAACACCTAACCCCCTGGATAACTGACGCATAACCTGTCGTGAAAAGAGACAAATCGTTCTGTGGAAACAGTGAACACAATGATGACAAAGTGAAGCAGGCTGTCCTAGGATGGTTCAGGGGTACTGACAAATGTTTCAATGTCGAAGCTTTCCAGACATTAGTTAAACGCTGGGATAAGTGTATAAGCTGTAGAAGGAGAGTATGTTGAAAAATAAATGCAGCTTCCACTCCTTGAAATTTGTTCTTTCATTATATAAACTCAAAAGTCCCAGTTTGACTTGAACGGCCCTTGTATTTTTCAGGCTGAACCCAGGAGGGTGTCTGATTAGTTGGATACTACTGCTGTCCAAGTGGATGCCTGCAACTGTTGAGTGACCGATAGGGCTCGTTCACACCATGGTGCAGTGACGTCACTGTTTCTGTACACATTCTGCAAGGGCACAACAAAATCAATTGTTCTCTATGTGCCCTGATCGCACCATAACACTCGTATTGTGTAGATTTTTTTCTGCGCAGGAATCTGCAACATGTATAAATCTCAATGAAGTGCGCATGAAAACAGATGTAAACTGATGTCTCAGCAAGTGTAATCTGCGTGCTAATTTCCATTCGTTTTTCTGCACATATGGTGTGAACAAGGCCTTAATGTCCATGTGTTCTAGGACAGTTAATTCTGACTATTCATGGATGGTTATTTATGTTCTTGATTGGATCACCGTCACAGTTTGAAGCTCTTGTTTGATTATCAGTTTGCTACTGTGCCAAACCCCCTAATAAAACTCTATTCCGCCTTCTTATAACACCCTCCACAGGCTCTTTTTCCTCTCAGTTATCCCCTCACTTCTGTATGTTTGGAATGATTACTGCACAATACTTTTGATTATGGGCACTGCTCTACGTACACTACAAATCCAACAAGGGCAAGGAAGAGAGGGTGACTACATTTTTGCATACAGTGGGACCATGGAGAACAAGCCTAGCCAGCCTCTAACAGGATCACAGCAGCAAAATAGAAGAAAAAAAAAAGTTAGAAATTAACTAGGCAAACAGCTGTACCTGTAAGAAGATTGTAAATACTTACTTGTCCTAAAGCACACCGCATCAAATGCTGTTTTGCTAGAGTAATGATCCCCTAAGTCTGCAGAGAAACCTACATTTATGGAAGTGACAATAAGTGGTTCCTCCTACCTTTTATGTTACTACAGGACACTCGTGGAAGTGTCAATTTCCCAGAGAACTTCACAGGATGATAAGAAGAAATATGCTGCACTAATTTCCCAATATATGCAATGTACATTACATAAATTTCCCTGATGCCGTTACATTTGACGAAACGCATTGAGTGGAGCCAGACGCGATGATGTCACTATGCATGCATGCATGCAGTAAATGCCAAGGATTTGAGTGCCTTATTGAATAGTGATATTCTACATGTGACTGTACTTAACATTTTTAATAAACCTGTGGTATTTATTTTACACTGTTGGGGAGCGTTCTCGTTATATGTGTATTTGCCTTATGTGGGAGATATGTAAGGTAAACCGTGGCGGTACATACAGATACAGCCATCCTGATTATATCATGATCATGCTGTTTATGACCACTCAGGCATTGGGGGTCGTTTACCTTTGGTAAGGGCACTAGGGTGGTGTGGAGTCACTTTGATCATCTGATGTATGAGATGAGGTTTCACCGGCTCTTTCTGAAATTATGATTTATTGTTTTAAACTTTTTTTTTTTAACATTTACATGTAACAGTTACTTCTGGGTTTCCAGGCATAGGCTAATGATGTCACCTGTCCCCGGAGTCTTCAAGATGGGAGGATGGGTTTTTTCTCAATTAAGCACACCCTCATGCTTGCATGCCTAAGCTAAGGGAAGATGGACCCCAGGAAGTAAATGCTACATGAATCATCAGTCCTTGCTCAAGATGGCCACGCCAGAAATTCTAGCAGGCGTTTTTCAAAGTGATTTCTCAGCAAAATAAAACATGGAGACATGGATGGGGGAGTTTGCTTTGAACAAAATCATGAATTAAACAGCATTTTTGGTTTGTGGTCCTCAAATGCAATGTCGTTCCGCTTTAAGCTCGTTGTGTCATTTCAGTACTTAGGTTATTTTGTATTGCAAGTGTCTTTCGCTGTGTGGCACCATGTTATACTGAGTCACATATAAGGAATTTATGTAATGTACATTGTGATTTTACTTATATTTTACATATGATATAGTGCAAAAAGATTTTTTTTTTCTCTTTTTGATCTGAAGCAGTTTCACAAGTTTTCTATAGAACTTAACTCAATGACACCTAATCAATGAAGTGCCTTTCAGTGATGCAGGCAGTAAAAGAGGGTTTTTTGTGTTTTTTTACAAGAACAGCTGTTTGCCAAGTTTATTAAATGGTCATTTTAAGTAATAGAATTCCAAATGTTCAATGTAATGCTATTTACCTGATATATTCACATCAATCCAGTCATCTGAAGTATTGCTGTTACGTTGATTCCTGGCTTTAAGTTCACCCAGTGAATATAATGGCTCTTCTTGTAAGTGTTTATCAAGTTTTTCATCACTGAGTGCTTTATCTTCCAAATCTATCAAATGATTAAAAACACAGAATTTTCAGAATTATATAAGTAACTATTCTGAAACACATGAAAGTAATCAACAATTAACTGAATGTTGTAATCAGTCTTCAGAAGCATTAAGTTCGCCAGAAAACAATTACTGTTATATGGAGCTGTTTTCAGACAACACCCAAACAGAAAGGAGCTTTAAAGTTGAGTTCCACCTAAAAAGGGGAAGTTCCGCTTTAAACCTTTGTCCTCCGCTCCCCATTAAGGATTGGCGCCTTTGGGGAGTGGGTACCCGAATTTGACAGGTACCCGCTCCCACTTCCGCTTGATCAGAAGCAGAAGTTGTCCTCCTACCCTACTTCCCCATAGTCTTCTGGGATACGTGAGAGGTCCCAGAAGAGTACGGGGCCATTCACAAAGTGCAGCGCTTCTTGCGCATGCGCAGTGGGCGTCCAGCTGTGAAGCCTTAAACTGTCACAGCCGAGTGCCCACACTGAAGATGCCGGCGCCAGGGAGGGAAGACGGCCGGTGAAACCAGCGGTGGTGAGGACACCGCTGGACCGAGGGACACGCAAGTGTCTGTATTTTAAAAGTCAGCAGCTACATTTTTGTAGCTGCTGACTTTTATTTATTTTTTTTTCCAGGTGGAACTCTGCTTTAAGTAGACAGAAAACTGAACTGGATCCAGACAGATAAGAAAAAAAAACCTATGCAGTAATGTGTTCGTTAAAAAAAAAAAAAAAAAAAATTAGGTATATTTTTAAAAGCAACAATTATCCTACAATACAACAGAGCTCAGACTGGGGGAGGGTGAAGCAGCACCAAGAGCCAGTAGGTTGCAGTGTTCATGTGCTAAACAAGAAACCTACTGATATAGCAGGAAAGGGCAGACCAAAAAAAAAAAAAAAGTGCTCATCAGTCTGCTACTTTTTGTCTGCTACTTTTGTCTCCTTGCTGCTGTTGACTAGGCTGGCTGTGCTGCCTGGAAGGACCATGTAAATGTCTGTAATTAATGGACAGAAATGGAAATCCTTCGGCTCTTATGTGTAGAGTTATTCACCCTGAGGTTATCACAGAGGACAAGGGGGCACTCTTTACGTCTGGAGGAAAAGAAATTTAATCTTCAAACATGGAAAGGTTTCTTCACAGTGAGAGCTGTGAAAATGTGGAATAGACTCCCTCAAAAGTTGGTTCTGGCCAGCTCAGTGGATTTCTTTAAAAAAGGCCTGGATTCTTTGTGCCCATCAGAGTGCCCCTTAACATAAAATGTGCCCATCAGAGTGCCCCTTAACATAAAATAAGGGGCATGCTGATAGGCTCATTTTGTTAGGGGCACTCTGATGGGTACCTGCTATGTTGTGCCCATCAGAGTGCCCCTTAACATTCAATGTGCCCCTGTAAGACTACATCCCATCTTGAGGGCAGACAGGAGCTTGCCAGGATCCTTGCTGGACGCTTGTGTAGAGGCAGGGAGTGGGAGCTGGAGAGACAGTGAACTGAAAGGGACGGTGGCACACGCCCCCTACCTGGAAATGCAAAATCACACATATCACGTATATATACGTGATTTTGTGCACCCCTGCCGCCCTGTAGCAGTATATCTTCAGTTAAAGAGGTACAACTTGCGTAGGATTTGTTTTACCTCTGTGTATCATCAGAGGATAGTCACTTGTGGATATGTAAGGGTTTACTGGAAACGCTGCGAATCCTGTGTGTTTTCCGCACCACATTACAATCGCATGCCGTTTGTGCGATCTGGTGCAGGTGTCAATGATAAATTAATGACACCCCAAAACAGATTGCAAAACCATGTGTCACAATCCTACACACAGGGAGAAGTGCGGTTCTCCATTTTACCCCAAACTTAGGCATTTTGATATTTCTCTGAAACTCCTATGCAAACACCTGAGGGGGGAGGTGTGCACACAAGAGCAGACATTATCCCTCATTCCCCCTCCCTCAGGAATGCAAGCAGCCTATGATACTGAGCCCTGCCTAACAATTCTTTGCAAATAAGGCTTGGCTGGCTGTTGTGGGAAGACACAACCAATTGATTTTTGTAGAAAAAGATGCCGTTAGGCTTTGTGTGTAGTCAGAGAAGTGAGGATTTTCTGCGTGCAACATCTCACAGAGAAAGAGAAAAGAAGATCTTACTTTCTAAAAGTGTTGAACTGTTTCTATAGCTCCTGAATGTAACTTACGAGTCCTTGCCGCTGAAGAGCGCTACTATGAGTATTTAACCTTCTGTATAACCAGTCTGTAGAGATAGCAGGATACTGACGGTTAACCAATTATCCTCTTTCTCTGTATAAAAAGGAGGTGGTGGCAGTGTGAAGGGTTAATTGCGTAATTAACCTGACCCAGTAACAAGCACATTCAGGCTGCTGGTACATCTATTGTGGTCTAATTAGCTGGAAAATCATTGTGCAGGGTGCAGCTGGGTGTGGCATGGTTACGCACGTGACAGCGCGGTTTTAGATTGACTAGTCCTTCGGTCACGAGTTTGGTGAGAAGGGCTGGGGTCTGATGCCGCGCCCGTCACACCATGCGATTCAGGTGCGGATAAAAATAAAGGATCCTCCACCTTTTTGGTTCGGATATGATTTGAGCCATACAAAATGTAAGGCTCAAATCACACCACACAAGTATTGTATGTAATTCGCACAGGAATGCAAATGCGATTCCTGTGCAAATTAAATGCAGTGTCCCGCACCACATCACCACATTAGTGTAGACCCGAACTAAAGACCAACTGAGCAAGCTCTGCACTTTTTGTCACACTGCTGGTGGCCTTGTTTTTCCCCTACATGTAGCCCAGTGTTACTTTTTTTTGGGGGGTTGTGGTTTGCTCTGCATATGTTTGTAGGCCATAATAAAATATTGTTTCAACTGGATTCTCAGATAATTTCACAATATATATCAGAACAAAACCACAGCATCAGTGTTTACATGGGGTTCAGAATTCTGCTGGGGATAGCTCACCACTGAAATCTAGAAGAGACATAAAAAGCCAGCATGAGACTTAAAGCGGAGCTCCACCCAAAAGGGGAAGTTACGCTTTAAGGATTGGTCCCCCGCTCTCCATTAAGGATTGGCACCTAGGCGATCGGAAGCGGAAGGTGTCCTCCCTCCCTCAACTCCCTCCCTGTAGTCTTTAGGGACACGTGACAGGTCCCAGAAGACTACAGGACCATTCACGAAGCACAGCACTACTCACGCGCATGCACAGTGGGTACACGGCTGTGAAGCCGCAAGCTATCACAGCCGGGTGCCCACACTGAAGATGCCGGCCTCCTGGAATACAGGATGGCCAGTGAAACGAGCTGCGGGGGACACACCACAGGACCGAAGCACAGGTAAGTGACTGTTTTTTAAAAGTCAGCAGCTACAGTTTTTGTAGCTGCTGACTTTTATTTTTTGATAGGTTGAGTGGAACTCCGCTTTAAGTTATCCAGCAACCATGAACAGTAGAAACTCTAGTCAAAACATGGTCAACTCTAGACAATACTTTTTGTTTCTGAAAAGAGCCCTGATTTGAAAGATTCCACTATTTGATAAATGGTAGGTAGAGAAGGAAATGAGAAAAAAAACTCAGAAGCAGGGACACCAACAACAGTGAAAACAAATATTTTAGTAGGATAGGAAAAGTTTAGAACTGTGTCAGGATATGAAAGCTGTCTGTCCTCATTAGGTATATTTTCTCTCACTTAGGCCCTGTTCACACTTGAGCGTTTTGTAGCTTATAGCTAGCTAGAAGCTCAAAATCACTCAACAAGTAAAAACCTATTGTTTTGAATAGCCTTTGTTCACATCTGAGGATCCTGTCGCTCAGAAAAGTACATGAGCTACTTTTCAGGCAGAATTAAGCGTTTTCGTCCCCACAAACTTTAATGGAAACGCCTGAAAAGCACGACATGAGTCTTTCGAGTGTTCTTTCAAGCATCTTGTTGCGTGCTTTCTGCTCAAACAGCAGTTCTCTGTCCCTTTTTCAGCAATACTCTACACCTTTTAGATGAAAAGTGCCTGAAAAAAAAGCTACAAAAAACGTGCAATGGTGATCAAAAAAAGTTTAAAAACGTTTGGGAAAAAAAAAACACTTGAAAAAAACATTTGAAATTAGAACAGCTGCGGGGGGCGTGGTCTGCCGCGGCTGGATGATGGCCGCTTAGAGAGAGAGCTCCCGCCGGCCGGATCCCTCTACACAGCCTTATGAAGGAGCGGGGTGAGTGAGTGCTGTCTCACTATGGGGAAGTCGGACCGGACATCAGCCGGTGCCCGATCACGATCCCCACGGAGCCAGGGAGTGGCAGAGGCGGCATATACAGGAGCTCTTCCGCTCCCAGCAGCAGAGGGAAGGGCCGCAGCCATCTCCTTCTCCCTCTGCATCCCCCTCTCCCCCTCCCTCTGCTGCCACTGATATAGCAGATCCCTCCTGCTCTGCCTTGTCGGCTGCTCCGGACACAGTGCCCCACCATGACATCCATCCTGCATCCCAGTTCCTGTCCTTAAGGGATCTTCATGCAGTGGCAGCAGACATCAAGGCCACCCTGACTGCCTTGCTCACTAATGCCCTTGGAGATTTACGGGAAGATATAAGGGCCATGGGCTCACGGATGGAGCAGGTGGAGTCCACTTCCAGGCAAAACAAATCTACCATTTTAGACATACAACAAAAATCAGTGAGGCACACTTCTACTATCAGAGAACTTTGCAGACATGTTGAGGATCTAGACAACCGTGGCCGCAGACATAACATTAGAATCCGCAGTCTCCCAGAATCAGTGGAAACTAACGATATCCCCAAAGCGGTAATGGCCATATTTAATGACCTCCTTGGTCGCCCGCCAGCAACCCCAATCGACATCGAACGTGTACACAGAGCGACCCGCCCTAGGAGGTGAGACGCAGACCCACCCAGGGATGTCATTTGTTGCCTTGTAAGTTTCCCGCTCAAAGAGGATATCCTCAGATGTGCTAGAGACAGAAGGCATCTTTTATATGGAGGCGCAGAATTACAACTGTTTCAAGACTTATCCAGCATTACCCTACAACAGCGCCGTGCATTACGTCCCCTTCTGGACATGCTCCGATCACGTAACATCACTTATAGATGGAGGTTCCCGTTCTGCCTCTCTGTACAAGCTAACGGACAATCATGCAACCTGATATCCCCTGAAGAATTGCCATTGTTTTGTTCCTCCCTGGACATACCTCTGATTGACCTACCTGACTGGTACAGCTCCATAAGATTGCCACCAGTTCAGGGCCTGGGATCGGTGGACAGTGCTATGGATTGGCATGCTCAATCTAACCGTAGATTTCGGATGCCTCCGACGACTCCTCCGAGACTCCCCACAGGGGGCAACAGCCATCCTCAGCCCGACGGCCTCTCCTGCACATAGGAAACCGCGGCGCAAAATTTGATGGTCTGGAATCCCTACACAGCAATGCCTTTCCGGCGCATGTTTTCGCCAGGTTCCTATATTTTGCTACTACCACAAACGCTTTCTTACAGTTTTGCCACGAAAGTTCCAGTTACTTCTTCGTTCACTGAACAATGCCTGCTGCACTTACACTTTGCGACACATACCTCTTATCCACCAGGATGGCATCCTCTGCTCTACAGAACTCACTTACAGTTATGGCCCTGTATACACTTAAAGGGCCTCCTCACTTCTCCCTACATGATATGGGAACGGACATTGACCGCAGGCAAACCGGTTCCACCCCCCACATTGGGGAACAGTTTTTTTGGATCCATCCAGGTCATCGCTCAGACACACTCAGAAAATAGAACAGCTGCATGGCCGGATCTAAGGGGATGCTGGGGAGGGCTGTGCCCCCCCCCCCAGATTTCAGTTGTGCCCCCCAGGCCGGGTGCGCCCTCCTCCCAAGTACCCACTGAGCTCCCCCCCCACAATCCCTGCACTCATGGCCAGCCGCAGTTTTGTAAAGTAATCTCTCCAGACAGGAGCGGCATAGAGAGAAGAGAGTGGGGAGGAGATGCAGCCTCTCTGTGATCTCCCCCTCTTGTCATAACAGCGATCCTCCATACAGCAGGTTATATAGGATTGCTATTACATCCAGCGGTACCCGGCTTCATCACCCACCCCCATCCACATTTCCAAGTATTGAGCAGTCTTTGGAGGAGATGGGGGTGGGGATTGGGGAGGATCTGTGCTAGGGGGGAAGGGGTGCTAGAAGGGGGATTTGGGAGGAGGGAGAGGATTTGTGCTAGGAGGGGGGAACTGGGGGAGGTATTAGTGCTAGGTGGGGGGAAATTGATATGTGCTACTAGGGTGATTTGGGCATGCAGGGATTTGTGCTAGGAAAGGAAATTTGTAGGCGGTCGTGCTAGGAGGAGGGAGTTGTACTAGAAGGTAGGATGGGGGGGGGGGGGGATTTGTACTAGTAGAGGGGATATGTACTAGAAGGGGGGATTTTGGGGGGAGGATTTGTACTAGGGGAAATATTTGTGCTAGGAGGGGGGAATTTAGGGGGGAGTATTTGTACTAGGAGGGGAGATTTGAGGAGAGGGTTTACGGAAGGAGTGGGGTTTGGGGGAATGGGTTTGTGCTAGGAGAAAGGATGGGGGGGATTTGTACTAGAAGAGGGAACTTGGTAAAGGATTTACATTAGGAGTGGGGATTTGTACTGGGGGGGGGATTGGGGAGAGATTAGTACTAGGAGTGGGGATTTGGGGGAGAGGGTGTGTACTAGGAGGGGAAATTTGGGAGGAAGGAGGATATTTGCTAGGAGAAGCATGGATGATTTGTTATGGATTGGGGAGATTTGAGCTGGAAGGTGGGATTGGGGGGGGGGGGGGATTTGGACTGTGAGGATGGGAAATTTTTGCATTTCTTATTTGGGTAAAATTGGGGCTTGAAAAAGGGATTTATGCTTAGGGGGTGAGCGTGTTGATTAGTACTGTTTTTTTTTTTTACTATTTTGGAGGGGGAAGGGGTGGTTTGTCACCTTCACCTTGAGTGCTAGATGACCTTGTCCCAGCACTGCCTGCCCTGCACTCAACAGATCTCCTCCCCATGTAATGCATAGCTGAGATCAGATTTCCCACAGCATCGATCTGCACAATGTGTATCTGGCTGCGATGGTGCAGTTCTAACCTGTAAAATTCCCCGATTGGATTTTGGATTGGCAGCTGCAGTAGCCAGCTACACACTGTGTGGAGGGATACTGATCTCAGCTACGTGATATGTGGGGAGGAAATCTCTCAATTGCCAACAGTGACCCTGTCCTCAGTTCTGCTGACCACTGTCTTCCGCCATGCTGACTCCTTTACCCTGCCCTTCTTACCCGTCCTCTGCACTGCTGACCCCTATCTTCTTTCCTGTTGACCCCTGTCCTCTGCCAAGCTAACCCCTGCACACACTGCCTTACAAACTGCCGACCCCCTGTACACTGCTCCACCAACTCTTCTACACTGCCCTGCTGACCTTGCATCCTCTGCCCCACCTGACATTTTTACTGCTAGATCCAGTCCTGCTTAGGTGTGGAATGCAGCCTTACTGGTCCAGTGACAGTTGTCAGAGTAAAAAGTGAGGGCAAATATTCCAACAGAGACAGACAGCAGAGTTTAGGTTATCCTAACTGTTGACAAAAAAAATGGTTTGGCTGTACTTGGGTTTTAAAATGGAACTTCACTCTCTTAATCAACATTAACTATTTTTAATCCTTATGCTGCTAGGATTAGTAAATAGATAGGAAAGTCATATTTACTATCTTTTTTTTTGCATTTCTTTAGTTACTTCCTGGATTCAATGCCTAGGCAAAAGAGGTCATACATCCCAAGACTCTTCAGAAAGAGAGGAGGGGTTTTCTCAGCTATGCACACTCTTCGGTCTGCATGCCTGAGCTAAGGGCAGGAGGCGTCCATAAAGTAATTGCTATATGAATCATCTGCCCTTACTCAAGATGGCCACAGCAAGAAATGCTAGGGGGTGTTTTTCGAAGTGATTTCTCAGCAAAATAAAGAATAGAGATATGGATGAATGGGGAAGTTATTTGAGTTTAACTTTGAATATTAAAAATGAATTAAATAGTGCTCTTGGTTTGTGGTGCTCGGATACAGTGAAACTCCACTTTAAGATCAAAAGTAATTATTGCAAATAAGTACATTTACCAGACATATTCATATCAAGCCACTCATCTGTGTTATTGCTAATATTTTGCTTTTCATCTTTCAGTTCAGCAAACGAACGTTGTGATGGCTCATCAGGGAATGTCTTCTCTGGTTTTTCCACTATAATGGTTTTATTTGCATCCTCCAAGTCTAGAAAATCATCGCTAAAATCCTCACTGAAATCATTCTTGTCAGACGATGACAAAGAGGAAATAGAAAGTTCATCCACATCTTCACTGAAGTAACTATCTCTGAAGTCTTGCCGTTCTAGATTTTTGCAAGAAGATAGAATATCAATGTCCAAGTCATTGTCTTCCGTTTTATGGTGTACGTCTGTTGCTTGGCAAGTCCCATTTGACAAGAATTCAATTTTGTTGTTTACTAGAGTGACAGAAGATCCTTTTGTTCCATCAGGAATGATCTCCCTGGTGCACAGTGCTGTGTTCGGTTTTTGTAAAGATGGACGGGTTAATCTGTAACCTAAAGGAACTGAAGCCACAGGACCATTTGTAAAAACAGGTTTCTTTAAGCTAGATGTTAGACCTGTAGAATATGTCCTTGTAAACATAGATTTCATGTGTGGCTCATTTCCATTTGACAGACCATACTGCTTTGCAGTCCTGGATTTAAGATCTGTCCGTGTAAATAAAAATGCTGTGACTGATGTATCTTCGTCATATCAGTTTCTCTGTGAAGAGAATAGGACCTGGTCAATCCTGCGGTTGGAAACTTGGAATTCTGAATAGAGTGGGAAAAGCTCTGTGATCTCCTAACATGAGAGAATGGCTTGCTGTCAGGAAAGATGTTATTGGTGAAGTTTCTACCTGTAGCAGAATTGGCTCTTGGTCTATATAAGCCGGTTGGGGGCTTAGTTGTGTAAAGTCCATTAGCCAGTGGTTTATGTCCATTCAACCCAGGGTAGGACATCCTTCCAAACTGGGTACCTTTTGTAAATTTAGTTGAACTAGACAGTACATTGTCGCTAAAGTCTTCTTTATGTGACACCAACATGTTGCTTTGCTTCCCAGGTTTTGTGATGCCTAATCTGGGTGCATCATTCTGCACCATTACCTGGGATGAGGTTTTTTTCAATGGCAAGATTAGGAGATGCTCTTGAAATTTGGTCATTTTGGTGATATCTTGATTTGCTCCAGTTTAAAGTAAATGCAGGTGCCCTGTCATGTTCAATGTGCTTTTCAACACTAAAGTTTCCCTTAGCGGATATCCCATTACATGTGCCATTTTGTGCCCCGTTGCAGAAAGCTTCCTACAGGCTTGGGTGCGCCAAATTTCGGTAATTTGGAACCTAGAGAGGCTCGCAGCTGGAACTTGTCTTCCATGGGAGGGAAAGTGCATTGGTATGTTGAATTTATTCAGATCTGTGAATAAAGAAAAAAACACTGTTAATACCAAAATTATCATACCTAAATATCCAAGACAAAATGACTGCAGAAAATAAGGAAAAAACACAAACATAGCCATACCAGCAACTGTCCATAAAGCACACCATAAATTCTACCGCTGGCCACAACATATAAGCCCATTTCCATGAACCCAGACCTACAGTTGTTGTGTGCAATAGTTGTTTTCAAGGTATTTGCTATTATGCACCACTTTACAGTTAGAAATATGTACCATGGTATATACAGTACATTCAAAATAACCTTAATGTTAAACCATATCTAAAGCAAAACCTTTCATTTTGGATCCAGTCAGGAAGGGTCAAAGTATAAAAGGCAAAACTTTTTTTTAGTTTTGAACAGAACAGAGAGGGATTGGAACACCTCTCAGGTGTTTATTGCGGTCTGTGCCCCATTTAGGGAGATTCACTCTATTTGTCCTGTTTGCCATTATCATTGAAAGTGAAAGTAAAAGAAACCACAAATTTTGGTTAGTCCCCAGAAAATTGAAGGGAAATTTTCCAATGGGGACACTAGTTCTAGTGACCTGAGGGTCCCCAAAGAATTCCCTTAATTTGCAGAGATTTTCTTCCCAAATGTGAAAAAATAAACTGACAAGGATTATACCCCTCCCTTACCCCAACTAAAGTGAAAAAAAAAAAAATATTTTGCATATAGTTCTACTTTAAAACAAGTATCCCCATTATAAATCACTTCTTATATTTCCTCTCTCTTTCTGCTCAAAAGACAATTCAACTTTTTGGATTTTTTTCCTCATTTTCAATCCTGGTGACTATGGTCACCTTTGTATGAATAAAGAGGATGGACCTCCCCAGGGAGGCGCACACAGCAATGAAAACCTGCCCGAGTTGCCAACCTTTCCCCTCTCTTTGCAAAAGTAAAAAAAAAAAAAAAAAGTTTTGTTTTCCAATACACCATACTTGGTAACAGAATCTTCTAAATAAATAATACATTTCGATTAGCCTTGTTATAACATGACATAGCTCAAAGTTACCCTATATCATGTTTTATATATGATTTATTATTCATATAAGGCTATGTTCAATTTAATTAGTTACAGATAACACATTGTACACTTCAGAATTACCCATGGGGCTGAAGTATCACAAGCAGATACAATGGGGAAAATAAGTATTGAACACGTCACCATTTTTCTTGGTAAATATATTTCTAATAGTGCTATTGACATGAAATTTTTACATCAGTAACAACCTATGCGATCCATACATACAAAGAAACCAAAACAAATAAGTTCAGAAATTAATTTATGTGTAATAAAATGGAATGACAAGGAAAAAGTATTGAACACAAGAAGAAAGGGAGGTGCAAAAAGGCATGGAAAGCCAAGACACCAGCTGAAATCTATCAGTAGTTAGAAAGCAATCTTGCCCCTTATCAGTGCAAATTAATATCAGCTTGTTCAGTCTCAAGTGATGTCCTATAAAAAGGTGTCTCATTACCAAGGTGTCGCACAAGAAACATCTCATGATGGGTAAAGGCAAAGAGCCCTCTCAAGATCTTAACTTATTGTTGCAAAACATACTGATGGCATCCAGTGAGCACTGTTTACCCACTGTAAACAGACAAATACAACACATGGAGTGATTGAAAATTAGCATTTTTATTTTGCCCAGTTTACTGCAAATCAGCTACGGGAATGGTTTTGATTGTATTTAAGGATACTGCAATTATTTATTCTATACAATTATACTAAATCTTGCATTGTATATAGAGGTAAACACTCATTTAGAACTTAGTAACTTAGTAAGCATGGATTCATTCATTATTTGTCTTTTCGAAACAGCATTACACCCCGATCGAACCGATCCAGACTTTGAAATCATGCGACTTAGTGAAGCTGCATGATTTCAAAGTCAGATGACATGCTGATTTGAGGTTCGATTTGCATGACATCTGACACAGATGTCTATGCAAATCGCACCAAAAGCAGTGCATGCACTACTTTAGAAATAGGTGCAGCTCCGACCAAGTCTGAACAGCACCGATATGACTGCTGTAATTACAGACAATAGGGTGCCACTTGCCTTGCGGTTTGCAATTCGTATGACATGCAAATTCATGCCAAGTCGCACCCAATGTGACTGGGGACTTAAAAAGACAAAGCTTTCTGAAACATATATTAATGGCTACGTATGTAGATAAATAGTTCAAGGGAAAGGAGAGGGACTTATTTAGGATTTATAAGGTAAAAAAAGCTGGCTTGAATTCCTGTGAAGCCTGCAAAACACCAACTGACTTGACAAATTTTGAATGAGAAATCGAAGGACCGGGCGGAAAAAACTCGGCTCAACAGTAACTGCAGCCAATTAGCTGCAGTCACTGTTTTGGTATTCTCACAGCCCTGGGTGCCAATGGTCAAAATACAATATACAGCAATGGGAGATTCACACATCCATGATGTTTAGCGTGAAAGGGGGATGCTACAGTTTTCTCTTGTTCAGCCTGCTTAGCTGAACGAGAGAGATCTTTACCTGCACAGCCAACTATGTTTATACACCCCACTATTTGTTTCAATTCAAAAAGAAAAAAATGTCACACTATTCAACTTTTTTCAAATGTATTCATACTATGCAAATAAGTTTTTACTGTACAATTTAGCTACTGTTCATCAATTATCAAAACCTGTTCACCAATCCTGCGAATGATTTTATTTTTCAAACAACTTTATAAGATGGTCAACACTTTGATCATTTATTACCTATCGATTTAAAAAGGATTTAAACAGCTTAAGCATTCATTTAAACCAGCTTAGCTTAACACTGTTTTAAACAAGTGAAAAATCATCTGTCAGGCTTGATTTAGCCACCTTAGTACCAGCCTGTATACATACATTCACTACCAGTCCATTTTTCAGTGCTGTAATAGTTTGACTGTCAATTAAATCGGCCATGAAACACTGTAACCAAATTAATTTTCTATAATTTCTTTTAACCACTTGCCTACAGGGCACTTATACCCCCTTCCTGCCCAGGCCAATTTCCAGCTCTCAGCGCTGTCACATTTTGAATGACAATTGCGCGGTCATGCAACACTGTACCCATATTAAATTTTTATCATTTTTTTGTGACAGATAGAGCTTTATTTTGGTGGTATTTAATCACCTCTGGGTTTTTTATTTTTTCTTAAAACAAACCAAAAACCACTGAAAATTTTGGAAACAAAAAACATTTTTTCTTAGTTTTTGTTTCAAAATTTTGTAAATAAGTGATTTTTCTCCTTCACTGATGTGCGCTAATGAGGCTGCAGTGATGGGCACTGATAGGCTGCACTGATGGACACTGATGAGGAGGCACTGGTAGGTGGCACTGATGGGCATTGACAGGCATTACTGATGGGCACTGAAAGGCAGCACTGATAGGCAGAACTGACTGGCACTGATGCACACTGATAGGCGGCACTGACTGGCACTGATTGGCAGCACTGGTAGGTGGCACTGATAGGCAGCTCAGATGAGCACTGATATGTGGCATTGATGTGCACTGGTAGGCACTGATATGTGGCATTCATGTGGCACTGATGGGCAGTGGCACGTTGCACTGTTCAGCACTGACAGCTGGCACTGATGGACACTGACAGGTGACACTGCTGGGGCTACACTGATCATCAGTGCTCTGATGATCAGTGTACATGTCCCCTCCGCGGAATGCCGGTTTCCGGCTATCCTCTCCTCTCGAGCTGCGTGACAGCTCGAGAGGAGAGAAATGCCGATAACCAGCATTTCCCTGTTTACATGTGATCAGCTGTGATTGGACACAGCTGATCACATGACCGAGCCAACGTCTTCGGCTCTTTCCGTGGATCGGTGATCCGCTGTGTCCGAGGGACACAGCGCACCGCCGATCGCTCCCGGAGCCGCGCATGCACGCATACAGTATATCCCTCTATAATGTGTACTTGTCTCAATTAAGAGCACTAAGTGTCATTTCTGTCTGCGGCTTCCTTCCTCTGCTATCACCATGAATCACTTCCGACAGCTTTCCTGACACCAAGAGAAAAATGTTGACAGGGAAGGGACCTCCAGCAGATTGACAGCCTCAGCTGTTCCTGTGTGGAAGAGGTGTCTCTCTTCCCTCCAATCAGTTCTTAGAACTCTCCTCACTGAGCTCTGCGATGTGTAACTTCAGCTCTCTGCCCCTTTATTTCTGACAGCTCAGACAAGCTTTATAATTTCAGCACTTTCAAAACAGGTGTACAGAGGGGAATACTGCAGATAGATAGGAACAATTTATATAGGAGGACCTGTTTAATCTCTATGTATTACCTGAAGCCAGTCACTTCACTGGCTATATGTACAGTGGGGAAAATAATTATTTGATCTGTTGCAGATTTTGTATGTTTGCCCACTTACAAAGAAATGATGGGTCTATAATTTTTATCATAGGTGTATTTTAAAAGATAGAGGCAGAATATCAACCAACAATCCTGAAAAAAACACAATACAAATGTTATAAACGGAGTTGCAATTCAGTGAGTAAAATAAGTATTTAAACCAACAATAATTCTGGCTCCCACATGTGCTCATGTGGTACACAGAATAGGCCTGTCAATTTAAGAAGGAGCTCCCAAGGACAACTCATTATGTGTATAAAAGACACCTGTCCACAGAATCTCTTTCTTCCATTTAAACCTCACCACCAAGAGGTGTCAAAGGACGTCAAGGACAAGACTGTAGACCTGCACAAGGCTGGAATGGGCTACAAGACAGTGAGCAGGAAGCTTGGTGAGAAGGAGACAACTGTTGGGAGCAATTATTCACAAATGGAAGAAATCCAAATTAACCATCAATCGCCCTCGGTCTGGAGCTCCATGCAAGATTTGCCTCATGGGGCAAGGGTGATCATGAACAAATTGAGGGATCAGCCCAGAACTACACAGAAGGAGCTTGTGAATGATCTCAAAGCAGTTGAGACTACAGTCACCAAGCAAAACACTGGTAACACAATCCGCTGCCATGGATTGAAATCCTGCAGCGCCCACAAGGTCTCCCCCACCAAGAAGGCACATGTACAGACACGATGCATCTGAAGTTTGCCAATGAACATCTAACTGATTCAGAGAAGGATTTGGAGAAAGTACTGTGGTGAGAGGAGACCAAAATTTAGCTCTTTTGGAATTAACTCGACTCACCGTCTTTGAAAGAAGAAAAATGCCGACTATGACCCTAAGAACACCATCCCTACAGTCAAGCACGGAGGTGGAAATGTTATTCTTTGGGGCTGTTTCTTTGCTAAAAGGTACAGGCTAACTTTGCCACATTGGGGAGCTAAGTATTGCAAAATCTTGGATGAGAAGCTTCTTCCCTCCCTCCAGAACACTGAAAATGGGTCGTGGATGGGTCTTCTAGCATGACAATGACCCAAAACATACCGCCAAGGCAACAAAAGGAGTGGCTCAAGAAGAAGCACAATAAGGTCATGGAGGGGCCTAGCCAGTCTCCAGACATTAATCCTATAGAAAATGTATGGAGGCAGCTGAAACTTCGAGTTGCCAAGCAACAGCCAAGAAATCTTAAAGCAGAGTTCCAGTAAAAAAAAAAACAAAAAAAAAAACATAAAAGTCAGCAACTACAAAAACTGTTTCACTGGCTGCCCTGTGTTCCTGGCGTCACCATCTTCAGTGTGCGCACCCGGCTGGGACAGCTTGCGGGTGCACAGCAGGGTGCTCACTGCACATGCACGAGTAGCGTAGCGCAGCATTTTGTGAATGGTTCCGTAGTCTTCTGGGACCTGTCACGTATCCCAGAAGACTACGGGGAGGGGGGGTGGACAACTTCCATTTCTGATCGCCTAGGCAAGCGGAAGTAGGGGCGGGTACCTGTCAATATCGGGTACCCGCCCCCCCCCCCCCCACTCTCCAAAGGTGCCAATCCTTAATGGGGAGCGGGGGACCAGTCAAAGAGGAACGTCCCCTTTTGGGTGGAGCTCCGCTTTAAGGATTTAGAGAAGATCTCTAGAGAAGTGTGGACCAAAATCCCTCCTGAGATGTGTGCAAACCTGGTAACCAGCTACAAGAAATGTCTTGCCTCTGTGCTTTCCAACAAAGGTTTCTCCACCAAGTACTAAGTCATGTTTTGCTTGGGGATCAAATACTTATTTTACTCACTGAACTGCAACTCAATTCATAACATTTGTATCATGTGTATTGTCTGGATTTTTGGTTGATATTCTGTCCATCATTTAAAATACACAATACAAATTATAGACCCTTCATTTCTTTGCAGGAGGGCAAACTTACAAAATCTGCAGAGGAACAAATACATTATTTTCCCCTCTGTAAGGGTGTACAACCACTTTAATTCCTTCTTCTTCCGCAGTAAGAGAAAAGGGTGAGATCCGCAAAGCAAACACTATACTGTTTACATCTGTGATCACTGTGATTTGTCAATTACAGCAATCGCGTGGTACGTAGCTTCTCAAATCTATTCTGTATACTGTTTGTGAACATAGCAATCCAATGATAGCCCAGTTCACAGCCATTAACAAGCACACTGGCAGCCCTGAGACTATTTCTAGAATGATGTTTATAAACAGCAGCGTCGAAAGATTTGGAATCCTCAAGTTCTCCAGAAGGCTGTGAAAAAGCTGAGCGATGTCACCACTGCCTAAGCAGAGGTTGCAGAAGCCAATGTCTGGGGAATCTCCTAGTTTTAATTGTTTTTCCTTCTTTTATTGTTTTTTTAGTTTAGTTTCTACAGAGTTTACATGGGGGACTGGAGTCCTAATAACAAGGGTAAGACTATTTTAATGCAAGGTCCACAGTAATGGATTTCAGATTAAAGGTAAAATCTCACAATTAATACTAGCAGTCAATGCGGTGTGGACAACAAATCTATCCATTGCCATATTTCCTAATCATAGTCTTGTTTAACAAGGGCTATCCCATATAAATATATATAAACCTAAATGACAATCGAAAAACAGGCTCATTACATTTCACACATTATTTCTGACAGTACAACTGATGGTGGGGATCTTCTACATTGCCAGGTATCTGAAGAGGTAAATTAGTAACATGAGAAGCACACTACTTCACCTGTGATAGCAGAGACATATGCGGAGTTATCTGATATCTGTGCTACCGGCTACAAAATTAGCTTTGCATATTTCCAATGCTGTATGTTACTGCGAGCTAAAATAGACTGTAAAGTGAATGTTTCATGAGATTCATCCAAACCTGGTCTGTTCTCAGTATACAAAGAATCACATTAAAGAGGGATTCAACGGCTCAAATGATTATTCTAATACAATGGTCACAAGCCAACAGGCAGCACTGAGCACTTTTTCACACAAACGTTCCAATTATTTCTGCCTTATTTAAGCTGTGTTCATACAATTTCAATGGTCAGTTAAATAACTCAATCAAGCATTATCTGAAACTAAACTGACCATGAACAGTTTTTTTTTTCTTCAGACTAACAATGCAAAGCTTAACTCACAGCAAAAATCTAGAAGTGTGTTAAACCTTGTGTTTCCCTCAACAGGGTACCAAGACAAAAAAAGAGAAACATACCAACTGCAGGATACACTCTATATACTGGGTCTCCTGAGAAACAATAGTACAGGTTGCTGGCGTTCAGAAGGCACAAGAATAAAACATTGAGATGCTAAGCTACTATAACTATAGCTGTGCTAATGAATGCAGAACCTCAGAGTCTTAGTGGAAGTACGACTAACAAAAAAAAAACAATTTTTTTTTTGGTGTTAGGATTTGGTAAATTTTAAAACATATGTTCTAACCATTTTAAAGTCAGTACAGCATGTTCTAACAGTCTGAACTTACATGTTTTCCGAAGGAGAAGTCCTACCAAGTTATCCACTGAGGAGAATGCAGGCCGCATCACAAGAGTCCAATGCTGCAAATCACACTTTTGCACAGATTAGTTGGTATGGCTATGAATGCCTGCATCTGGGATGGTGATGAAAAGAATTCTTCTGTCCAAAGCACTTTAATGCCTATCGTATTGTTATACTAATGGCATACAGCAAATACATTAAATCAATGTCCCAGAACCAGTTAATCATAACCCACAAACTGGATCCATAATTTCGATAACACCCATAAAACAGTAATGTGTATCCCTGAAAGGGCTGAGTTTATACTGCAAAGTCCTTATTGTACGGTATGAGAACTTAAAGGACGAAATAGTAAACACATCCCAAATAGCATAAAGGATGTGTCAGCCCTATGCATGCAACAACAAGAAGCAGCACAAAGACTTATTGTTAACTGTGTCTAGACAGATCCTAAAACAATGAAAAGAAAGGCTCTTAATAGAACAACTAATAAAACTAGTCTGAAATCAAAAATGATTTAGCATAATTAAAAAAAAAAAAAAAAAAAAAAAACACACACACACACACACACAAGCCTACTAGTGAATCCAGAACATCTATAACAATTATCATACAGATACCAGAGATTACATTTGAAGCAAACATTTAGGCTAGGTTCACATCTGTACGGGTGGTGCCGCTGCAGATCCGCACAAAAACCCACGCAGCAGCCCCACCTGCACAGAAGAATGCGGACCTGCAGGCGGGTGCCATTAATTCTAAAGGCACGCCGCCCGCACTGGAAATCACAACCGTAATGGGAACTGAGGTTCCCATATGGGCTGCATTTTCAGAAGAAGTGCAGGGACTTCTTCCCTGCATATCCCAGGGCACGGGAGTCTATTCAAATGAATGGGCTCTCGTGTACGCGCAAAACGCGGACCGCAGGAACACAGATATGTGAACCGAGGCTAAACAAAACATTTCATCTTGGGTTTTGGATGCCATGATGTAGAAGACAAACACATAAAGGATTACCTTGTACAGCGATATTACAAGTTCTACCCTAATCACCCCTGCAACCAGATCTCTTTGCCTGTACTAGACGATCCTTCATTTGTTTGAAAAATACTTCGATAGCTTGCCAAGTACACCCACAAACGAATACAATGACTGTTTAAAGGCCAAAGACAAAATTATACAGCTGAAGCAATTCTGGAAAAGGCGACGTCTTAAAGTGGTTGTAAACCCTTAAATCAGTCAGTTTTAACCAGGGTGCCTTCTAGGTTCTTCAGAATGCCTAAAAATTCACCCAAAATGCCCAAAAATTGTCAACAAGCCAGCAATTGGATGAAGCCTACCTTTTTGTTACACAAATCACAGGTTTTTATTGTGCAGCATTACAACCTTAGGCACTGTGAGGGCCAGCGGCTGGCATCGTAACAGCCGAGAATGTAATTGGAGAATAAGGAAGATGTCAGGCATCTGTATCTTTGTATCCTTGTTTGCCCCTTTCCATCAGCACTTGGATCACTTTAGCTGAATGATGGAGAAGAGGAATGCTGGAATACTAGTCAATAGCAGTGTGCAAGGGTTAGAATAAATCACCTCTATTATTGGGTGTCTTACATGTGTGAATGTTGCTGCATCATGCAAAACTATTTGTTTACGGTTACATTTTAGAATGGGGTGCCTCGAGTATGTGCAAAATTATTAAAGGGTACCTTGACTGAAAAAAGGTAGAATTACTGCCTTACATATAACCAGTGAAGTGAGTGGTCTTAGGTGATACACAAAGTTGAAACAAATCCTCCTACATAAAGTTGTACTTGTTTATCTATAGCAGTGGTGGCGAACCCGTGGCACGCGTGCCACAGCCGGCACGCCGAGCCTTATCTGTGGGCACGCCAGGAGAATCCAGCGGCGCGCTGTCTTCCCGGCTGTAGTGTGCGTGACAGCGGGTCCCAAGTGCGCATGCACAAGAAGCAGTGCTCCTTGTGAATGGTAAGGCGGTACCTGGGACACATGACAGATCCCAGAAGCCGCCGGACCAATCACAAAGCGCAGCGCTTCTCGCGCATGCGCACTGGGCATCCGGCTGTCCGACGAGCGCCCACACTACAGAAGCCGGGAAGACAGCGAGCGGCTGGATCGAGGAACAGGTAAGATAAAAAAAAAAAACTCTGCGGAAGTAAGAGCGGGTACCTGTCAAATTCAGGTACCCGCTCCCCCTCCCTCCCCAAAGGTCAGCAGTCATCCCTGTGCTGTGTCCGCAGTCTCTGGTCATCCCCGTGCTGTGTCCCCAGTCTCTGGTCATCCCCGTGCTGTGTCCCCAGTCTCTGGTCATCCCCGTGCTGTGTCCCCAGTCTCTGGTCATCCCCGTGCTGTGTCCCCAGTCTCTGGTCATCCCCGTGCTGTGTCCCCGGTCATCCCCGTGCTGTGTCCCCGGTCATCCCGTGCTGTGTCCCCAGTCTCTGGTCATCCCCGTGCTGTGTCCCCAGTCTCTGGTCATCCCCGTGCTGTGTCCCCGGTCATCCCCCGTGCTGTGTCCCCGGTCATCCCCGTGCTGTGTCCCCGGTCATCCCCGTGCTGTGTCCCCGGTCATCCCCGTGCTGTGTCCCCGGTCATCCCCGTGCTGTGTCCCCAGTCTCTGGTCATCCCCGTGCTGTGTCCCCAGTCTCTGGTCATCCCCGTGCTGTGTCCCCAGTCTCTGTCATCCCCCCCGTGCTGTGTCCCCAGTCTCTGGTCATCCCCGTGCTGTGTCCCCAGTCTCTGGTCATCCCCGTGCTGTGTCCCCAGTCTCTGGTCATCCCCCCGTGCTGTGTCCCCAGTCTCTGGGCATCCCCGTGCTGTGTCCCCAGTCTCTGGGCATCCCCGTGCTGTGTCCCCAGTCTCTGGGCATCCCCGTGCTGTGTCCCCAGTCTCTGGGCATCCCCGTGCTGTGTCCCCAGTCTCTGGGCATCCCCGTGCTGTGTCCCCAGTCTCTGGTCATCTCCGTGCTGTGTCCCCAGTCTCTGGTCATCTCCTGTGCTGTGTCCCCAGTCTCTGGTCATCCCTGTGCTGTGTCCCCAGTCTCTGGTCATCCCTGTGCTGTGTCCGCAGTCTCTGGTCATCCCTGTACTGTGTCCGCAGTCTCTGGTCATCCCTGTACTGTGTCCGCAGTCTCTGGTCATCTCCTGTACTGTGTCCGCAGTCTCTGGTCATCCCTGTACTGTGTCCGCAGTCTCTGGTCATCCCTGTACTGTGTCCGCAGTCTCTGGTCATCCCTGTACTGTCCGCAGTTCTGGTCATCCCTGTACTGTGTCCGCAGTCTCTGGTCATCCCTGTACTGTGTCCGCAGTCTCTGGTCATCCCTGTACTGTGTCCGCAGTCTCTGGTCATCCCTGTACTGTGTCCGCAGTCTCTGGTCATCCCTGTACTGTGTCCGCAGTCTCTGGTCATCCCTGTACTGTGTCCGCAGTCTCTGGTCATCCCTGTACTGTGTCCGCAGTCTCTGGTCATCCCTGTACTGTGTCCGCAGTCTCTGGTCATCCCTGTACTGTGTCCGCAGTCTCTGGTCATACCCTGTACTGTGTCCGCAGTCTCTGGTCATCCCTGTACTGTGTCCGCAGTCTCTGGTCATCCCTGTACTGTGTCCGCAGTCTCTGGTCATCCCTGTACTGTGTCCGCAGTCTCTGGTCATCCCTGTACTGTGTCCGCAGTCTCTGGTCATCCCTGTACTGTCCCCGCAGTCTCTGGTCATCCCTGTACTGTGTCCGCAGTCTCTGGTCATCCCTGTACTGTGTCCGCAGTCTCTGGTCATCCCTGTACTGTGTCCGCAGTCTCTGGTCATCCCTGTACTGTGTCCGCAGTCTCTGGTCATCCCTGTACTGTGTCCGCAGTCTCTGGTCATCCCTGTACTGTGTCCGCAGTCTCTGGTCATCCCTGTACTGTGTCCGCAGTCTCTGGTCATCCCTGTACTGTGTCCGCAGTCTCTGGTCATCCCTGTACTGTTAATTAGTTTGCACTACTGTACGAGTTGTTTTTTCTAAACCAAAAGCTCGATATTCAGGTTTCATTGCAGTGTTGGCACTTTGAAAGAAATAAGTTGGTTTTTGGGTTGCAGTTTGGGCACTCGGGCTCAAAAAGGTTCGCCATCACTGATCTATAGCATCTTTCCCCTATATCCATTCAAAGTGCAGAATTTACACAGGATCTCTCAGCTCTGAAAAATTGGGCAGAGAGCTGAGGTTTCATCAGTGAGAGCTCTGAGAGCTGATTGGAGGGAGGGGACATTCACCCTTTCACAAAGCTCACAGGAACAGAGATGAGGCTGTCAATCACAGGCTGTGCCCTCCCCGTCAACATTTTTCTCTTGGTGTCAGCAAAACTCATCAGAAGTGGCTCATGCTTATAGCAGAAGAATGGGCAGCAGATAGAAATGATACATAGTGCTCTAGATAAAAACAAGCACACAATATAGATGGATATGCTTTGTTCATATTTCATGTCTAAGGTTTACAACCACTTAGACATATAACTGTCAACGTAAAATCATATATCTGTACACAAGAGGCATACTTATTTGCTTGAGAGTGATAAATATATTAACACACCATGATACCATGAACTAGGGTTGGCTTTCATCTTCTAACTCAGTCTAGTTTTTATTGGCCAGGGATTTTTTTTTTTAAGATTGGTTCTTTTTGGCGCTTTATTGTGTCTACAAAAAAATCATAGTTAACTTTTTTTTTTTTATTATTTAACTTTTCCTAATCTTCTCAAATAAAAACTATACCATCACCAGCTTAATAAATTGCAGAAATATTAAAGAATATGCAAACCCAATATTTCATATTCCTGATATGTGCGTGGTTTACCATGTACTTGTATAAAAAAAAAGTAACCTGTTCTCTTTGTAGTACTTCCTTTGTGTGAAATTCCTGGTGTTCCTGCCAGTCCCTCTGCTTTCCTATTACAAACTGCCCACACTAAGCAGGAGAACACACTGTGGGGTCAGTTCTCTAGCTATGTTGGGAACTGAGTGTGCGATCCTCCAATGATCAGATTTGTCCTGAAATGTGCAACTCACCCCCCATATCCCTGCAAAGCCTTTCATTGGAAAGTTCAGTGTTCTGCTGTTTCTCCTCCCTCACCTCTTAAGTAGCAGAGAAGAGAGGGAATGTAATCACTTCTAAAAAAAAAAAAAAAAAAAAATAAATAAAAATGGGGAAAAAAAGTGTTTACATTTTTTTCTTTAATATCTATATACAAATGTTTTGCCTTTCATTTCAACTGAATGGGTTGTTTTACAAGGTGAGGGTTTACATATAAGTTTTCACTTGCAGCAATTTTCCTATTCATTAACAAGGTTCTATTGACTTGCACTGTGCTTTTGAACATTCCAGCAAATTTGACTTCTTCAGGAAGAGTAATCTCACCAACATAGCCACAGCTCCCCCATCCTAGTGCCATAACATAGCCCTTTCTCTTTTTCTGGGAGTGTCTAATTACTGTGTGCTGGTCCAGCTCCTCTACCTGGCCCCTCTTCACATATTTATCTAGTGGCCAGGGAGAAGCGAAGGGAGTTATGTGTTCTGAGTCTGCTAGGGCTACCAATATTCAAAATGGTGCCGCCAAGCAGCAGTCTCGTGGCTTTTGCATACTTACACAAGAGAGACTTATAAAAGTAAAAAAAAATGCCTAAATATTGTAAATGTACAGATATAATTTAATGGGAAGATTGTTAAAATAAATGGTCTGGCGACAGGGTTTCTGGTCTTCTCAAGAGCATGCCACACAAGTAATCCTGTTGCTGGTGAAACATTGCTCTATCGCTGCTACCACACTATGAGCCAGACTATGCAGCACGCTGTCACCCACTAAAGGAAGTTGTAGCTACACATAGTGATACTGCTGTCAGCAAAGTGTCAACAGTGGCATAACCACCAGTGCGACCTCCAGCTAAAAGTACCCGAGAACAACTATTCTTGGAAGACTGCCTTCTGTTTTCATTTGCTTACCCACATCATAGTAAAAGAGAATCTGTCAGTTCAGGTACAGTAGGGCAGTGTATCTAAGGGATTCTGGATTCACGCCTGCAATCTCATTGTACAGCTTACACAAATCTGATTCAAGTAGTAGATGACACTCAGGTATACTTTAATCCAATAATGTCATCTCTAAGATATACTAGCTGTGTAAAATGTGCTTGTGAATAGGTATGAATCTGCCAAGCAGCAGCTAAAACTTTCCAAAAGCTCCCTTGTAAAGAATTAAAGGGAGAGGCAAACACGCGGCTAAGGTAAAGGGCGTTTCCAATGTTTGTAATAATCATGACAATGATTATAAAGTTTCATTCACACACAGTCATCTCATTTAATTACATAAACTTTGAAAGCAAGCACAAAATGACAGAATTAATTGCATTTCAGGGTAAAAGACTTGTCCAGTGGCTGGAATTATTCACATAATGTTCAGTAATATATCAAACAATAATACATACAAAAGGTACTTCAATTAAAAAAAACAAACTACTAATCTTTTATAAAACAAAACCTCCTTAATTCATACTTTTAAATAATTTAAACTGAGTATGTACAGAAAGTAAAGCTCGGTGTGCAAGTACGCACCATAAAAAGGTACAAACTTTTATCTGCACTCCCTTCCCACCCAATCCCCCACATCACCCATGGAAAACAAAAAAAAAAAAAAAAAAAAAAAAAAGCACTTCTGTGTAAGCCTAGGTTCACATTCATGCATGTTGCAGTTGATGCATTTTTTAACACGTTTTTGCCATGTTTTGGTTTTTTTTTTTTGCAAATAGAAAAGTATGATAGTTTTGTTCATTTAGTGTGACTTTGATGTGACTTTACAATCTCTGGCACTCAAGCAGCATCAAAGTATTGCAAGAACCTTTATATGACCATAGTCGCATGTTAGGGTTAATAGGTAGGGATAGGGTTACAGTTAGGGGTAATTGCTAGGGTTAGCATTTCAACCCCAACAATTACCGCTTACTATCTCTAACCCTAATACTAATACTTAACCCTAACATACGACTTTGGTCACATCAAGGTTCCTGCACTACTTTGATGCTACTTGAGTGCCAGAAAGTGTAAATTCGCATCAAAGTCGCACTACATGAACAGAACTGTCAATTTTTAATTTTTTTTTGGTAGTAAAAAATTAAGGCAAAACGCAGCAAAAATGCAATACTTGCATTTTTGGTGTGAGTCCATTGAAGTCTACTACACACAAAATGCAATTTGCTGCAGGAAAAAAGGTCCCTGACCCTTTCCAAAAAAACGCACAATCTCAAAACGCACAGATCTATAGGAAATCATGTTAAATGGACTGTAGTGCATTCTGCAAACTGGAGAACATACTGAAATCCACTTAAGTGTGAATCTAGGGTAAGGGTTTTACTTGACACTTCCACAACCTCAGATAATGCCGCACTCTATACCTCCTCTGCTTAGCACTTTTTTTTTTTTTTTTTTAAAAGGGCAGGGGGAGCAGGTACCTTATTTTGACCGGCAACAGCTCCCACTTCCAGTAGGATCGCAGAAGGCTGCGGACCATTCACAAAGCGCAGTGCAACTCGAGCATTCACAGTGGGCAACCAACTTTAGTCACAAGGATTCATAGCCAGCTGTCCACAGTTAACATGCCGGTGCCGGGGTCCCAAAAACTGGCAAAGAAGTGGTTTGGGCGAGGACAGTGCTGAACCCCTGGACAGGTAAGTGTGCTTGTATTAAAAGTCAGCAGCTACAGCATTTGTAGCTGATGACTTTTTTCTCAAAAGGCTAATGTACCACTTTAAGTAGCCAAATAAATACTCATGACTGACAAGCAACATGTATTTTTTTTTTTTAATAAAAGTCTGAAGTTCTCATCTGAATAAGTGCGCTAGGTTACTTGCTCAAAGCATTTATGCCAGATGGTTGGAATGACAGCCATGCAGCTAGAATTTCCAGAATGAGAATAATCAATAGTAGCCTCCATACTTTCTCAGATTCCCTTTAAATACTGCTAGTATAAAGTAAACCTGTGTCCTGCACTTGCAAATCTGTCCAATTTATTACTTTACAAAGTTGCCAGAGCAGGAGCAGAGGACAGATTCATGGAGATAAATTTTCCAATCACAATGTTCAGTTTGGGAAGGTTTCTCACTCCCTGTTGCATCTGTAAAAGTGAACATAAATATCCCCAAAGGGGACACGAACTCCACAAAAGATAGATACCAATTCTATCCCTTTAAAACTAGTACAGGGCCATTTGTAACCAATTCAAATCCTTGGAAATGAATATATCTTTTCAGTGTGCCATGTGTTGAAATTCAGATGCTTACCTTCTCCTGGTCACTGCAGGTGTTTGAAACTAAGGCCCCTTTCACAGGGAAAGATATCCAATATGCTCACTGGGGAACATGCCCACTGATCCCCTGCTGAGCAGAACGGGCAAATGACAGGTCCTTGTCCAGTTTATGCAGTGCAGACACAGATCAAGCCTACTCTGTTCTATGGTCGGCCAGGTATAAACAGACCAGTTGTTTGTTTACATCTGACTACCTCCAATCTGCCTACACGGAGGAGAACAGATCCCCTTCCGTTTTATTTTAGCGGACCGGATTGGTTCATAAGTTAGACAGGTGTAAATGGGCACAAGTCTGTTTACACCCACCGTCTGTAAGGATGAATAGACCATCCAATCAGGTCCACCTGGAGAACTGACTGGAGGACCCCATTGGAACGGTAGTGTGAAAGGGGCCTAAGAGCTCATTCACATCTGGAGGTGTGTACAAACACAAAC